TCTTCATCTTTTTCAATAAAAAAGTGAACGCTTTGAATTCTTCAAAAAAATTCATGTATGGACTCAGATCCAAATTGGATTTAAAATGCATATTCTCCAATTTGATTAAGAAAGAGAGTATCTTTTTTTTGAATTTAAGAATTACCTATCCATCCATGGTATATAATATTAGTTAACAATAGCTTATATCCCAAGGCAAAATGGTGATGGTGAATGCAAAAACAGAACATTGTTAAATGATGTACATTACATACTTCATAGTGTCAACTTTAAAAATCACTATTAGAGTGAAGTTGTTACTTGTGCAACATATCTTCATAATTAAATTCCAACCAAAGCTATTCCATGTCATATAACTTCTTTTGAAAGATGGCATAAATACAAAGTTGATTTCACTCATCTTTGTGATTTTGAAAATACATTCTTTGCAAGAATTTCTTATATTCTTTAATTCAAGCTTATAATAAAAATATATGAATATATTTTATTAGGCTGTAGCTTTCTCAGTAAGGCTTATAAATTCCAAAATAAACTCATTAGTGTAATACTAGTTTCTCACAATATTGCTTATAGAAAGGTCTTTTTTTTCTCATAAAATAGCCCAATCTTCTTTTCTTTTGAGTGATTCTACTTCAACTCTCTATTCCAATGGCTGATCTGGCAGTGGAGTCTCCACCTTAGTACTAGCTATGTCTTCTACTTCTAGTCTAGTAGACTATTTTAGATCCACTTTTGTTGCCCTTGACGCTCTAGTTTCAACTCTCTCAATAAATGATTTTGTTGTCTTTGAAGATGCACCTTGCCTATTGCATAATTTTTTTATATTTAACAACTTCACTCTGCTATTGTACAATGTTGTTTCAATTCTAGTGTCTCCATAAAGTAATCCTATGAATTTGTTGATTTCTATATGTCTTGATATTATGAGTTCTTGCATCTCATCTCCTACATAGCTTCCTTCAACTTCTCTTATTTTTGCATCTTCTAGGCCAACTAACCAATCTTCTAATATTTATTCTTTATATTTTGTTTCTAATTCTCATTGTTTTTAAGATGCATAATTGGACCTAGAACTCATGTCTCACATAAGCCATCATGTTCTTCTGCCTCTGCAATCTCAACTTTGAAGTGCTTCTCTATCCTATCTCATCAATAGTCTTCTTGATCATTCTTAGCTAAGTTCAATAACATTGCTTTTGCATTGCACTTCAATTTGTATGAATAAAAGAGTTCTACCTTTACACAACTCATTTGAGAACTATGATGTTAACTTCTCAAAATTATAGTCTTCTTCTTGTAAGTCTCTATTTAACAAAAAAAAACCTTGTTTATAGTTTTCATAGTTCCAATGGAGCTCAACAATTATAAACAAGTTATCAACTCTTCTAATGTTCACAGTTACAATCTTGCTATTACTGACAAGCTCAACTTCTATATTGCCAATGGCATCTGGGTATTTATAAAGCTTTTACTTGATCGCCATCACATCACTTACAAGTAGGTATTTAAAATCAAGTTGAATAGTTTGGACTCCATAAATTATTATTAAGCTCATCTGGTTACAAGAGATTTTAATCAAATCTAAGGTCTCTATTATACTAAGATGTTTTTTTTTATAATTTGCATCTAATCTATTCAGCTCACCTTAGCGTTGGCTGCTCAATACAATCTTCACGTCCATTAGATGGACATGAAGATCGCCTTTCTAAATAGAATTCTTTATAAGAAAATATACATAGTTGTTCTTGATGGTGTCTCCATCCTTACTATGGCCTTATTTGTCGACTTTAGAAAACATTGTATGTTTTGAAGCAGTTTCTTTGAGAATGGTTTTAGATTATTGACTACTTTCTTGTAAACTACAAAACAAACCATAATGTATATTTCTTCCTTTGCGGCCCTTGTTTTGTTATTTTTACACTTTAATATCAATGATCTATCTCAAGCTATATGTACTTGCTCTTTGAAGGTGCAATCAATTGGTACTTGACTTGCCAACGCTTGATTGCACTTTCTTTCTAGCATGGAGGCAGAATACATAGCTATGGCCACTTTCGCCTCTGAAGCTATCCAGCTTTGCCACCTACTTCACAACATTCACCAACATACTCACTTTAGTTTTGCAACTCTAATCCTATGTAATAATCAATCTGCTCTTGCCCTGGTCAACATTACAAAATTTCACAGTTGCACAAAATATATTGTTGTCCATTATCATTTCATCCAACAACTCGCTGAAACCTAAAAAATCTGCTTTGAATACTGCTCTACTGTTGACATAAGAGATGATATTTTTACAAAGTTGTTGACAAGACCAAAGCTTGCCCCTCACTTACCATTGATTGGCGTACTTGGAAGAGAATCCATCCTACACCACAATCAATTTAATCGAGCATGTTAGAAAAAAGCAGTTAACTTCAACTGACTGTTTACAAAATGAAATGGTTACATTCATATGAACAGGTGCAACCGCCCTAGATGCACCTGCCTCAATGGCATAAAACCTCATGTATCAAATACATTTCAAGTATATACACACAATATATGCTTTATTTACTTGTACAGAATTTGCATTACATTTACTAACCCTATATACCTAAGTTCCAATAGCATCAAGCATCAAATGCAGTTGCATTGGATTGTGCTGGAACAACACAAGCAAGCTATAGCAAAAAAAAAAAAAAAAAAAAAAAAAAAAAAAATCATTTATTCAATGGAATGATTGGGATGCGAAGATAGTAGAGTTACCCAGCACCCATGACAGCATGATCAAAGTGAGAATACCTGCTCCTAACACCTTTATGCTCATTGAACTCAACATTGAGGCCCACAACTTTCCCTTGAACACGTGCAGTACAATCACTTGTGCCCAGTTTCCTTACTGGATCAACGTGGATGTAAATCAAGTATTGTAACTCAATTGTCGTGATCCATGCCATGACCAAACTAGGGATCATGCACAGGAACAGCGTGACCGTGATAAATGCACGGAGTTTCAGAAATGGGCACACTTTCATCACAAGCCAATTGAGAGCACCCACAGCGCCTCCTGACGCCGGAGATGTATCATTTGTCTGATACATTACAGCAAGACTACTAGAACATTACCCATGCATCCCATAATGCTGCTCTAACGAATCGTCATCGTCACTAGTGTAAACCTCTTCGTAGACCCCTTTCCCTCTTGTGAGATGGAGTGCACTGTTTCCATCTCTCGTTGGCTGAAATCCGAGTCCTTAGTTCCAATCATCTCTCAAAACTGCTCGCCTCCCTCATTTTGCGCCCTCGCTTCCCTCTTACAACTTTGATTCCATTTTTATGAGTTCTTCTAAGGGCACTGGAAGCATAAAAACAATCCTACAAGACTTAAATTCCTTCATGTTACCCAGACGATTATATTCAGCAAATGCAAGAGGTCATCAGAGTGGGGTGGAGGGAGAAGGCGTTGCGAAGTGCTCATCCCAAAAGACCTTACACTATGTCTGAACGCTGTGAGCGCGAATCCGTGGCGGTAGCTAAGACTAACTCCAAAATCTCAAGATCGTCACATGGTCAGACAATTCGATTCTGTACTCAGAGTCAAATAGCTCTCGAGAGCACAAGTCATCGCTACCCAAGGACTCGGAGAGTTGAGTGGCATGCCCCACGTCGGAGCTCAAGGCCCGAAGCTCAACAGAAAATGCTCAAATCCCAGTCTAGATAAGCAAGAATTTGAGCTACCTGTGAGCAAAAGTAACAGTCAAATTTTGGTCCACGTCAACTCCTCGATCCTCAAGATCATCATGGAAAACACCAAATGCAAACGAAGACTGCCCCACAACACATTCCCCGATGAAGGTAATGTGCTTTACCTGGTCCTAGCATTCACAAGCGATCCTAGCAGCTATAAAAGCAAAAAACTATTCCTGTGACGCATATCACCACGTTGAGTGGGACCCTTTTATCGTTGCATCGAAATTGCACAAGCCACTCGACACTTCGACGTACTAGTTGACTTATACAGTGGGTCGCAGTGCAATATCTAGTGCACGATCTTGTGTATGCCATAGTGGTGACCCATTGTCTCTCTGTTACGATTCACCGAACACTTCCACATATTCTGGTGCAGTAACTTGCAAGGCACTTCGCCAAAATCTTCAAAGTCGTCCTGCACGGTAAGCGAGTAGAATTTTGCATCTATTATGAGGTAGCAGGGTCACGAAGTAATCCAGGTGCAACGTTGACGAGAATGCCACCTCGGATTGGTCAACCAGATATTGAGAATCAAAGGAGCCCTCCGATGATGTCAACCTGGGCAGCTCAAGGTTTAAGTCAGTTCAAAGCGACATCATGCGTATCGAAAAATCTCATTGATAGACTCTCGTCACGTTCCCTGATTTTACTCGAGTAGCAAGATTTTACCGTTCGAGACTCAGGCTCGTTTGTCAAGACCAGCAGTGCTACGCAAAGAAACTGTTGCTATTCGTTCACTACTGAGGATCTTCAATCAGACATGTCGCTGTTCGCCTCACTTAGAGTTGATGCCATTCCCCATCTCGTTTTCTCAAGCCATACTGCTCAGCAGTCCAGCGATGTCTTCACCTTGTAAGATCTAAGTACTTTGTCCCAAATCGAAACGCCTTGGGGAAGGTTTTGGTGACGTATGACATCAAGACGTGTACATGTCCCTTTGAATGGAAGACCATCTAAAACCACAACTCGTACTGCTTTCCTCCTTAGATGTTAATTAGGTCTCAGATTAAGTTGCGTCATTTGTTTCGATACACATGACCGTCTCTTAAACATCAGAGATCAACAGAATCCAACTCAATTATATTTAGAAGTCAATCCTGGTATGCAAGCCCGAAAATGCGAACACAACCGAACTTGAAGAAAGACGGGACTTTCCTCTAGCTACGACTACCTATCAACCCAGGATTATTCGACCTTCATCATTCTATCTTATAAAAACAATGGACGACTAAAATATACTGCACGCAAGGCAACATGTGAGTACAATGTACAATCACCAAAACAGCACATCCTCAAAAGCTTACAAGAAAAATGGTATCAACCGTCCAAATTCATATCATCTAGACGAAGAGCTAGTGACATTTACACAAACCCGAAGAAATATCATCTGCTTCACCCTCCCATGCAGTCAATCCTCCTATGTATAGGACCATAATCTCATGCTTGGTAGATCCAAAATGCTGCAGAAGGAGCACAACTTCATCCTCATTGGAAGCAAGTTGTGGCTGAAGGAAATGATGGTGTCTAGCTCAACAGATTCCAAAGAGTTGTCGATTCTATTAATCCACCTACACTATAAGTCAGATTACTCACTTGGGTTTTAGTGGGGAAACTGTTCAACGACACTAGGTACAAAGAGACAAAATAATGTGCTGTGTCTGTAGTGTTCTCAAAGTCGTCTGATTGAATGGTCTCAAGAATCGGGGAAGCAAAGGCTTCCTTACAGATCTAGAAATCGATGAATCTGCGGCCAGGAAGTTGCACAGAAACTGGATCCACCACTGCACCACAAAATTAAATCACAAGAGTTATGAAGTATTCTCTTTGGTGAAAATTTCAAGACCTGCTTCGACCTAAACACCGATGTTGGTGGGAAAGACTTTATCCTAACTTTAAGTCTTAAGTAGATACTCAATTAAGCCCACGGAACATCCATGTGAGAGGCAACCAGCGTCATACTTCATTCCAGTGTGCTCGCAAGCTCTGAATTAAACGGACAGCAAACTCGAGCACAAGGTATTGTACAGATTTTTTCTTTTTCGGCGGTATTATAAAATCGGCAGAGAATAATACCTGCTCTCGCGTTGACAACAACAAAACGAGGAATAAAATTCATGCAGAACGACCTGTGAGAGGACCAGACTGCTTCAAGCCCCGCAACAGAGTTTGCACCTCAGATGTGAGAGTCAAGCTTCCTCCTAGACTTTGAACGGAGTGTTCTTTCTCTCTCTCAACAGCTGACATGGAACCCTCGCTCATGGAATTTGTGGGCTTTGCCGCAGGTCGTGGTGAATACGTAGTAGACCATGATCTCCCATTAGAGCCTGCTAGAGTCAAGATAGCGTCCGCCTGAATTGCAACAGCCATGATTAGGGGTATCAGACAATATACATTCAATAGCTAAGTTCTCATGAATCTACTGATAAGTGGTCGATACTCCTTGAAGATGATGCACGTATTAAACGCTAAAACTTGTCGGATTGAAGAATGAACAAACTTTTCCTAATCCATACGAGGTTCTAATAAAAGAGCTTCTCACAAGAGATGTTTCGAATATAGGATACACAGCCTCCACAACAGACCTAAGCCTCACATGTACCACTCGGTCCATTCATAAAAATCCAAGTCCAGAGTCGTGTCAGAGCAAAAGCCTACCAAAAATCATCTCAGAAAAGTGATAACCTCACCTTATCAGGGGGAACATCGTCAAATACATGGGCTTGCCCTCCGTAAAAGATAGTCAATTGTCGACTTGATGTAGTGGGAGCTTGACGACTGCAAAAGTTGATTACAAATATTAGTTACTTGTCACGCTAACTAGCACCTGATTCCACAATTGCAAATGAAAACGTACCCGAGAGAGAACACAACGAAACAGTTTCAAAAAAATGGAGTCACAAAATCTCATTCAGCCTATTAGTAAATTATCTAGATTCAAAAGCATCCGACAAACCCCCAACAGCACAATTTGGCAAATACACACATAAAACAGTAGAATGAGCAAAATCCCGCATAAATGCATGTTTAAACGAAGCTTTCTGTTGGAGAGTAGACTGGTAACGGGAAACTGAGTCTATTGACTTGTAGGCACACAAATATAACAGAAAATGCTCAATTACGCAAAAGACTAAACACGAGTATATCACCTTGATGGAAGCATAGATTCTGAACCTCCGTTGTGATTTGGTGTCTTTTGATTCTGAGGCGCGAGGGGAGGACAACCACTTGATCCCGCGGGGTTTGGGGTACTTCTATCATGGTGAAGAAGACCAGCGTTATCGAGTAACCCTGCCAAAACAGAGTTCTTGAGTCCCGTTCTCGAACCTTCATCAGCTGCTGGTCGATCCAACTGAGGATTGCCAACTACATTATTTTCTCGGGATGGAATAGGTAGTGACCTCTCGGTTTTTTCTGCTCTTTCCGCACAAGCACCCAGGTGACTGATTCCTCGCATGCCAACACCAGTATTGATTTGGGAGGGTCTGTAAGGTTGCTGCTTCTTCAAATGCCGTTGAGAAGCATCAGGTTTGGTGCTCTGCTGTAACCAAGGAGGACTTCTACTCGATGCCCGAGGAGGTTGCATGGAAAGACGAAGATCGTCACCAGATGCATCACAAGATTCGATTAACTTCTCTTGTCTGCTATGTTCATGGCGGGGTGCCTGTAACTCCAACCACATAAATGTAAATAGAATGACAATAGGCATGCAAAAAGATTTAAAACACACAGGAACTTGACATGACAAGCTGCTAAGAAAGAAAAATACATTCATAGCTGAGGCGAATAAGATGAAGGATATTCAAGATGGTTGTTGAACAACCAAGAGTAAAGCTAACAGCATGATGAGTAGGAAACGAACCTTCTGCGGCCGAGAACTCTCCAAAGCCTCTACAAGGCGATCTTGTAATGAATCTCTAATGGTAGACGAGTCTCTTTTTCTGGGCAACTTGTTCGTATCAGCTTCCAACTTAGAAAAAGCGCTCTTGTTGCCATGATACTGAAGTGCTGCATGGCTCCGCTGCCAGCCGACTGCAAAAACAAACTCAAACAAAAAATCAAAAGAAAAACAAATGAGAATCAGCAATATATATTCTCCTTCATGACAACTAGGAGCCTCGTGCGAAGATAATCCTAATGTTGTGCAAATAAAAGTTCATGTATTGAATTCTGCAAAAAGGAGTACGTGTAACCTGACAGTGTCATCAGGAGCTCACTGGGCACTACACAGAAAACACGTATAACCAAAATGAAAATGGCTCGAACATTATATCTAAAGAAAGCAAGAAAAAAAATACAATATGCTTCTCTGTAGAGCTTTTCGCAAGACGTTCAAGGTGAAACCGTGCTATACCTGATCCAGGATCAGAAGAACTTGGGATGGTAGGATAAAATGGAGGGGAGACGTGCATAGGTGTGGAACTAGTTTTGAACCGACCGCTAGTTCCAGATGACGTTTGAGTGTTGTTAGTCTCACCATCTCCTTCAGACTCGAAACCTGGGCTGGTCCGTGATGCAGGGATCGCCTCTGAGGTAAGGTACTTCACTTGACTAATGTCATCAATTCGACCAAGACCTAAAAAGTCTCGAAACACAGGTTGATCCTTCTCGGCCATGACTAGATTCATCTTGCAGCACGAAGCAAATAAATCAGGCTCATAGCAGGTTCGCCAAGATAGTAGGAGCAGCTAGCTGAAACGCCACAAGACCTCATCGTCATTTTTAGGGATATAGTAAACAGTAATACCAGGACACAAAGAATGTGCGTCACCACAAAAACAAATCCGCACACCACATATGAAATGAGATCCAGGCTGATACCATACATAGCGGTTGCGACTCATGTGTAGCGCATGGTGACTGTGACTGTCGTCACAAGTTCAACACTGCTATGGTCATCGTAAAAAATAAAAAATAAATACACACAAACACACTTGTTTCTAAATTTGGTTGACAATAGCCCCGCTTACACATAGATTCGCGGCACGAGCTTAGCATGCAAGACATAGATCACGAAGACATCATTGCGGACTTGCACGTTCGCTCCGACCGTAGAACGTAGTTGAGACTACAATCCGATTCATGTAACCTTACAATGAACCAAACTCCAGGCTAAGAGAAACATGGTCACCTCAACAGAGTACACTAACAGCTTGATACGTTTCGACCCCTTCCTAGAAACACTACTTCACAAATCGCTTAAGAGATACTAACTGCCGCTGACCATGAATTAGTACCATTAGGACAACGAGGGGAAGGACAGAAGACACATTTTCAGAGCAGTGGTGCTTTCGGCCGTATGCTAAGAGGCACCGCACCGACTCGTGTACTCATGAAAACTCGGATCCATAGCGAAGTCACGGGCACCTGCGAACTAGTGACGCAATTGTTGGAGGGGGGGGGGAGAGAGAGAGAGAGAGAGAGAGAACGAGGGATCACGAGTAATGGAACTTGACCACTGCTACCTAAGTGCAACTACCGGTGTGATCCAGCAGCAGCAAGTAGCACGTATTCAAGATCAGAGTAGAGGCTTCGACCACACCAACAACCAAAAGAAGAAAAGCCAGTCTTCCAAAAATAGCGATCGCACTGCAACCTTTTCCCAAGAGTTGAGCTTAATCACCCTTCTGTGTCTAAACTTTTAAATCCCACGACCCCAGGGCCTTGCTAAGAGATTCAAATATCTAACAGCAGTAAAATTATCTCCAACAATAGGAGATCTAGGAGGTCATACGTGCCTTACCACGATATGGACGCTCAATGAAGTGTATCGATTCAAGGAATTTTCTGTGAAGGCTGCTTTCTATTCAAAACGCAGCTGGTACGCATTTCCTCCTTTCCAACTTGCAAGTGTACCAAGTCGTGTATCTCCCAGTCATTTCAAATCTACCAAAACTACACGGGCAACTTCGAGCCCAACGCCCAAACTCAACTTCACATTCTATTCCACATCATTTTCCGTTCATTCTTGGGCACAAGCCGCGTGTGAGACGTGCCACCCTGCCGCTACGGAAGCGAGCAGAGAGCCACTCACATGGGAGCGAACAAAGCACAGAGTTGCCCCAGTTTACGGCCATGTACACAACGGAGCTCCCCGCAGAGGAGCGTCTTCTTCATTTCTCTCGTCATCAAAACAAAGGCATCCCTGGAAAAGCGGATCAGCTCCACCAACAAGCACAACACCAGCACCCGAGACAAATCGCTCGCTCTTTCCCTCCCTCCCTCCTTCCTTCCCAACTCCTTACAATAAAGTCCCAGTCCCTCCAGGACGTAACGATCCAAGGGACGGCGCAAGGAGAGTGAGAGACGGCTCCGACATGAACGCAGATGAAAGAGAAGAAACACACTACACCACCACCACGCACGAGGAAGGCAAAGAAGCAGAAACCTCCTCTACACAAAATCGGAGAAGAGACGAGAAATGTGGTTTTCAGATGGCCACATAGGAAACGCTAGAGGCCAAAGACATGACAGGGGGTGGTTGGGATTTAAGCGTATGATTACAAGAGAAAGAGGAAACGGTGCAGTGGGGAGGGGGGGTTGCAAAGGGGTAAAGCAGCGACAACGGACGCAGTGTGGTGGTGGAGCAAGGCAGGCAGAAGACGAAGAAGCTGCGTTGGACGGGGGGTCGACCACACCATAGCTACCACTGGAAATGCAGAATAGCAGAGCGGAGGGAGGTGTTACTGCGGGGTCACGAGCCTCATCCTCCGCCCGGCCCGGCCCGTGATTTACTGCACAGTGCTGCTTGTCAGGTTAGGCGGCCTGTACTATGCTTGTCATGCGCTGTACGTATACATGCCCTCTCCCATACGATACTGCTTCGTGCTTCGTACTTTCATACGATAATGGTAAGCGTATGGGTGGATGTAGCTGGAGACACGGCTGGCTGGTCAGCCTCGGAAAAGGGGCAGAACTTTCGGTGGAAACCCCAGGTTAGTTCTGGGCACTGGGCTGGCTCGGCTGCCCGCCACTCCCGCCCTCCTTTTGCCTTCTCCCAAAGTCTCTCCATCTCCTTCTAGAGCTCCTCCCGTATTGACTTGACTTGACTTCATCGTCCTATTTTTCATCTCCCGTCCAGCATTCCTCATCCACTCTCATGAGCCTGGCACCACCCAAGTGCGTTCCTTCTCCCTGCTCTCCAATCCGATTACATTACTTGCAGGGGAAATATATATATACATATATATATAGTGTGTAAGTCGTCACGTGACGTTATTCTAAGACTTTTCAGTATGCACATACGTAGATATAGTTTCGGGTCAAATATGATCTCTTCGCTCTTCATCGAAGGAATCAGTATGCAAGGTTATGCACAAACAAAATTAAACAAAGTTTTACAGACCTGACGTTATCAAGGGTTTGGATTTTGAGGGGTAAAATTTAGCTGGATACCGCGGAAGTGAGAAGAAACTGCCTATCTCAAAAAGCTCCTTTTCAACTCTAGTCCGCTAAAACTTGGGAGCCGAGCATTTGCTTCCTAAAGCTATACCCTAGTTTAGCACCACACTCATTGCCCTGGATCTTCAGCTTCACTTCACTTCACATCTATCTGCTTCTTTCCACTCTGTCCTTGCATCTTCTATTTAATACTCTTATTAATGTTACTTACATTATTTCAATCACTTTTCTTGGATTTTCCATCCATAAATAGAGTTCATTCCTAGCTCGAACAAGAAAGAAGAAAGAGAAAAAAAACAAACAAACATGGGCAGGCAGGTGAGCTACATTCAAAAAAAGCCAAACACTTCCAGAAGAAAAAGAAATATTTTTATAAAGATGAGAGGGAGACCTTCACTTCCCACTGTAGGTCCATGACCATTCCACCGTGTTCCCCAATGGAGAGCCTCACAGGGAACTAACTCAAAGCTATAAGCCCATGCAGTAGTGTGAGGGAGTTTATTTGTTCCCAAGGGGACTTTGGGGTGGGGGAACTTGGGTGGGTGGGTGAGTTTTTGGAACACATGGAGTTGACTCTCCAACCCTCGAATATGCTGCTGCTTGGGGAGATCTCTAACGCGGGGACTGTCCACGTCATTTGCCGGGCAGAGTGTCCCAACCCCCCCTCCCGCCCCTTCCCGCCTTCTCTTCGCCCTTTCTCCGCCCTTTCCATGATTTATTCAGTTCTCCTCCGGATTTTGTTCCATACCCACTCTGCTCTCCCCGTTCGTTGCCTTGCCTTGCCTTGTTCGGCGTTAAGGAACAAACAGCCCATCCACCAGTCTGCTGGGTTTCTCCACATTCTCACCCTGGAACATGAGAGACGGCGATCCAGTGACTGGAGCTACGTTTAGATATGTGAATCAGATCTCCCTCCATAAATCTCGTTCTCCGTTTTTAGGCACCGCACTCAACAGTCCAGTCCCCTTGAGCGGTGTGATTCACATGGAGGGCCCCGCAGCAGCCCTCCTTCCTGCGCTCTCCCTGAGTTTCCTTCCACCCTTTGTCGAAACCCTCCCTCCCCACTTTGCTTTGTTCTCATCCCGTCTTTTTCCCACCTCTCCCGTCCGTCATCTTAACCCCCAGACTATATGTATATTTTGTCCTAATTTCATACAAAGACCATAGAATGATTTTATGTGAAGTTGAGTCAAAAGAAAAAATAAAAATAACAATAACAATAGATGAAAAAAATCATCATGGATATGATCAAACCAATCAAAATGCACATTTTGGATTGGTGTCATTTCTTTCATGAGAAAAAAATATCCTTAGAAACTACAATGTTGGAATCCATATGTGTCCTATTCTGGCTACCATTAATTAAACTGAGTCTTCTTCTTCTTCTTCTTCTTCTTCATTTTTCTGATGAGATTCACACAGAATATTCATTTCTTCATTCATGTTCATGAAAATGTATTTAGGCAATTTCACAAACTAAGAATTCAATAATATTACTAACTTGAAAGTATAAACCACTACTTAGATGTTAGAGTTTTAAATCATATACTACACACACACCTAGAGAGAGAGAGAGAGAGAGAGAGAGAGCACATACCATCCTGCAGTAGATTAAAAAACCAGGAATGCTATCATGTCAAATGCACAATAAAACAAAAACCTAAAAGAGAACAAATGTAACTGGGGACCCACTTCCACTTGGTGATCAGGAGCATTGGCAAAGAAAGAGAGGCAAGAAGAAGAAGAAAGGAATCTAGTCAGTCATACATGGAGTTGGAAGCAGCAGCAGCAGCAGCATAAAAGGGGAGCAGGCAATTCTTCTGTAAGCCATGCCATGCACACAGTGCCAATGCCTCATTCAGCCAGGCTTTGTTCCAACCAAGCCAAGCAAACAAGGAAAGAAAGATGGATCCACCATGGAGGAAAGGAAAGGAAAGGAGGGTGCACCACCATGTCCCACCCCAAAAGTGCCGCTAACCTTCCGCAGTGCCTTCATTCAGTGAGGAGGACTGACTAAGTGGATGGGTGCAGGACCATTGTGGAGGTACCTTGAGCCAAACTGGGGGCAAATCTCACTCACATGTGTGTGTGTGAGTGAGTGACCATGAGGAGGAGGAGGAAATAGAGGAAGCAAAGGAAGCAGGGCAGCACCATTGAAGACAGACAGACAGAAATATAGACAGAGAGGCCACCGATTATTATATTTTGTTGAGGATCATTCATACCCACATTGTTTGTTGGGTGGTGGGGGTGGGTGGGTCCCTCCCTTGCCACCACCCCCTTTTTGTGCAGTGAGAATGAGAGAAAAGCCAAAGTGCATGAAGGAGCTTTGCTGCTTGCTTGCTTGCTTGCATACTTGCCTTGCTGTGCCCCAATCCACATGGTACAGTATGCTTGCTCACACTCCCAAGTGGGTTTGGGTGCCCATGCACCAATGTCACCATGCAAACTCTCTTAGACCAGATGCCAGTTCCTCTCTTTGTGCATGTCTCTCTGTATGTGTGAGTGTGTGTAGGAGAATATATATATATATATATATATACATACATAGAGAGAGAGAGAGAGAGATTTGTTTGTCACAGCAGTTTGTTCCCAGGACATTGATTGCTTACCATAAAGGAGTTTAAAATACATGAAACAATGTGTTGCATTGGTACAAATATGGGAGAAATTGCTGAGACAACCTTGAGCAATGTCTGGATGATGCATCAAGGTTGTTGTGAGTTCTGTACGAGTGTTAGAGTGCTTTCAAAGATTATGGGGATTTAAATAACGTGGATAAGTGTGCATCCACATGCCTAGTTTACAGTTTGGTACATAGAGGTTACAAGTAGTTGTCAATGTACTTTGTAGAGGCCCCAAAATTTCATTTATGTATGTATGTATGTATGTATATGTACACATATGTCTGTACCAGTCCCACACAAGCATCAAATAACCAAAATTACTAATACTATATTGAAGTTTACGTTTTTATAAGACTTAATTTTTTTTAATACTATGAACAATTATACATACATATATATATATATATATATATATATTGACATTGGTTTCTTCAAAAAAATAAAAATGAAAATAAAGAAAAACCAGTATTAGAAGAATTCAAGTTAATAGAAAATTGACTTAACAATCCTTAGATGAACCCACATTTAGTTACATAAAAGCTACAACTTTTGTAACATTGTCAATTAAAAGTCCTTCCATGAAAACCAAATAATAAACTACATTAATTTCCTAAGAAAGGTTTAAGTTATTTTCTATGATTATGTAATTCTCTAAATCCAATATTATAAGTTTCAAATTCTTGCTCAAATGTTGATACTCTTGCTAAATAAACTTTTTGTAGACTTTTGATAGATTTATTTGTGACTGCTTCTTATGAATCTATAGATAGAATGATCAATACTTATTTTACATCCATAATCAAAATGTAATTAGTCATTGTATTATTGAAACTACATATAAAAGTTATACATTAATAAATCTACAAAAGAGATTAGTCATAGTATTATTTTTTTAGTAAAACAGAATTAGACAAGTCTGAAAAAACAGTTTTATTCGAAATTTAAAAATAATCATCTTCCAACATTCTAAATTTATTAGGTTTTACTTATAAAACACCTTTTATTTTTCACTCACATGTAAATTTAGATTTGTTCTAGCACCATGACTACATATATAGTGACATTTTTAATTTTAGTTTTTGGTTTTTTGTTTTTATCTCTTTACTTTAAATATAAGGCTTTAGACAATGGAAACCCTTGTAAATAATTATGAATACAATATTACATTGAACTGTAGGATTTGCATTGTTAATATTTGTATTTGATGTGTTAACCAATATTGACATGTAAACCAAGGCTTTTATAGTCCATGTCTAATTTTGCAACATAATATAGTATATAACCTCCAACTTTGAATGGTTATAACTAATAATAATAATACATAGATAGTTGTTTTTACTCTCTCAATATATGTGTATATACAATTTTAGATACATGTACAATTAATAACATTTTATAACAATTGAAAAAAGAATATCATGGAAAATTGCCAAACCTTATTGTTGGAATAATGTTGTTCAATATCAAAGCTTTCTACAATATGTTACGATCTAATAAGCTAATTTCTTTTTGCAAATTTGGAGGTTTTTATTAAATAAAAAATTATTCAAAACATTAAATGACATAAAATAAGTGCATTTATTACAAATATGTCCTGAAATAATGTAATTGGATTGCAAAAAAAA